GACATGTCAGTCCAGGCAATTCACTGGAAAAAATGACCCAGTCTCATTGCCAGAGCAACACTCAGTACCTCTTAACTCCCATAAAGCCAGCGCTGGCAGTCCCGTTTTCAGATCAGAGTCAGGGCTGTGTGAGTCTTCTCAGCATTAGCCTCATGCGTCCACTGAAACAACCTTTGTGGATACCAGCTGGCAGATCACAAGCACCGTCCCAAGCCTGTTACACTCCTCACCACTCCAATACCTACCAATCCCCACTATCAGCTTCCTCCTTAATTGCAACCTAATGCAGTCCAGAGCAGAAACTGCCTGAAGTCCCTTTGGAGGTCACATCCCCAATGCCCTCAGAGGGCCTGGCGAACATTAACTCAGCCATCACTCCACCCAGCACTGCCTTGCAGCTGCCTCTGGGGTGGACTAGGGCAGTTTTTTAGTGGCGGTCCTCCTAAATAACAAATGTAGGACGAAGCAAAGCTCTGCGCAGGAAGGCTGCAGGGTGCATTTGTCCAAGATGGAAGAGAGCCAGGGCCAGGAGTGCACAGCCCCTGGCTTTCCAGGGACATGGTAGGCTGAGGCTTTGGCTGTAATTCTTCTGAGAAAAGTTTCCCATGTTGCTGGCAGCTGCAGCTTCCTCAGAAGCCTTGTTCCACTCTGTGTTTTCCTTAAACCTGCTACTGAGGTCATGGGATGATGCAGCACCCCCAGTTTGCATACCAAAATGCATTTTTCTCCTGACCGTTTGTAGTTTTCTGGGAGAGAAAGAAACACACATGAAAGGGGGAACAGTAAGATCTCAAATCCCAAAGGCAAATAACTCCTGCTCTCCTGCCCAAACGGACTGTGTAAGACCTGACTTCTGAGAGGTTTGTCTTGTATTTTGAACACTGGGACCGACAGCGCTGTGAGCAGGACACAGCGTCACCAGCCTCTATGTCTTCTCCTGGTAGCCCCCTAAGGCAGTAGCCCCAGCCCACAGAAGAAGAGCCTCCCACGGCTGTGGGGACTTCCAGTACCACTCATTGCTCCTGTATTTTGCTTTCTGCAAATACATACTGCCTTCGCTGGGCAGGGATAACCTAGTGCAACGCTCCCTGCTGAACGCACAGGCTTCAGTGCTGCTGCCTGTGGTCCTGCAGAATGGAGCCACCGCGCTGCTGTGGGATCCATGGAGGCTGAGGGAGAGCAGCCTGGCTCCCAGCACAACCCGATCCAGCGGCAGCCCCTCGAGTGAGACCTGGTTGCTCTCTTAGGATCAGCCACATCCTTACACTACAGCCACTGCAGGACCAACCGGACCTTTTGGGGATCCCCCTCACTCCAACCCTTTAACTCTGTGCTCCTCCAGTCCGCTTCCGGGGCTGAAGCCCTTCACAGAGAGGCACCCACAGGCACTTGGTGGACTCCCATGTCTGTCTCCCTCCTTACCTGCCACGTTCAGCTGCCTGCCCAGGAACCAGGAGACCCTGCCATAGCGTAGGTCGCAGTCCTAGACAGAGTGGAAGGGGGTGATCCAGGTGGGCTGGCTCCTTCCTAGCCCTCCCCAGAAGGTGTCCCCCTGCTCCACTGACACCTTGTACAAGCCTTGGTGGTCCTTGGGTCTGGGGAAGGCAACGGCTTCGGGCATGTAGACTGTGAGGGGCCTGTGGCTCCAGGCTTGGGCAGCCACTGACCCAGGGGGGGATCTGGGAGCCTGAGAAAGAGCTTTGGGGCAGCAAGTCCTGGCCAGCAGCCTGCCCATCATCGCAGGGCGCCTGCCTCTCACCAAGGAGATGGGTGCCTGGAGCCCTCACGGCCACACGGGACACCCGGCCCAGACAAGACGGGCCCCTGTGGGAGCTGGGGCTATGCTGCCCTGGGCTGACTGGACACAAAGCAGCTCTCCTGCGCAGGGAGCCCGGGCACCCCTTCTCCCCTGCCTTGTTCCTCTCCTCCTCTCTTCCAGAGCACTATGGGGAAAAAGAAATTCAATCCCTTTAAGGGAGAGGAAAGGGGTGGGCTGTAGAAATATTTGACTGAAAATAACCTTCATGCTAATCTGAGTCCTGACAGCTGCTCTTGAATGGGAGCCAGGTTCAGCGGGTGCCTGGGCTCCCCACGGGGCCCAAGGTGCTGGGGCCAGGCTCTACCCTCCCGCTCATGCTCTCCTGGGGCTGCACTGCATCTCCACACCCCTCTGCTTTGCCCCTACTTGCCTCCCTCCCACCTCCCTCATCCCCATCCCCTTGCTCCCCACAGCCCCCCCGCTGCAGCCCCCCGGTCCTCTGCCGGCCATGAGGGCAGCCTGCGGCAGCTCACCTGTAAAAGTTAGGGTCCCCTCCATGCTAGCCTTGGGTGACAGGACCATCCCCTTCCCAGAATTAAGGCCCATTCCCTGCAGAGCACTAGGCTGTGCTGTCTCCAGGGGGCCAGGGAAGGTTTTTCTCCTGTGGCTGTCCGCTGCAGGAGGGGGATATCGCATCCCATCCCACCTCACTGCTCAGCAGCTATCAGAGCTGTCCCTTCTGGCAAGCTGGGCTGGGCTTTCTGCCTCCTCCCAAACACTCCAGACCAGTCTGTACCACAGGGTGGACTGGGAGCACTCAGCGAGGCCATGGTGGAGCAGGGGGTGGTGGTTTGGCATGAAACACTGCAGCCCATTTCCTCATGCCGAGACCTCCTACCACCCACTGTAGCAGAGCTAAGCTGCCTCCCTGCCTCCAAACAGCTTTTTTTCTGCCTTCCTTTCCTTCAGGCCCTATATAGGTAGTGTTTTTTAAGGCAGAGCTTGGAGGTTTCCTTAATTTCATTGACCAGCTTCCCCTCCCTTCCTAGGGGGCACAGGAGAAGAGCAGAAAAAGGCTCTCCCTGCAAGCAGGGCTGTTCTCAGCCAGGCACACCAATGGGATCAACAGCAGAGATGAGAGGGTTAGTAGATCTCCTCTTTGCCCTTCATAGTGCGACACCACTCATGGTCTGCAGGGCTGATATGTTTGGTGAACAGGCTGGACACCAGTATGGGAGACAGGCACTATTTGATTGCAGGTGCACTCGTTCCAGACCACACACCTGGTTTGTGGAGCTGCCCCCCGAGCCAGGTGAGGACCTATGAGGGCTCTGTCCCCCTGGGGAAATGCAGTCCTGTGGGCTTACAGCCCCTCCACAAAGTCAAGCCCAAGCAGCCTTGTCGTTCCACAAGTAAAGTCTCTCATTTCCTATGCACATCTGCTCTGCCTCAGCCTTTTTCCCCTGTAAGACATCAGTTTTTTCCATCAGACCATCCCCAGATGCCCTTAGCAGGGTGGGCAAATCTCAGCTCCTTCTCTGATAACTCAGTATGGGCTCCCCGCTGCTCTCAAATCAGAGCTCACCTTGCTGGAAATCCCTGTCGGTGCCCTTCCCTCTCAACAAGCTCCCCTGCGCTTGCGGCATCTGGCTGCTGCCTCCGCTCCTCAGGCCAGCTGGGCCCTGCAGCCTGCTCCTGGCAGAGAGGCTGAGCCTGCCCGAAGGTCTGCCCGGCTCTCTAACACCAGGGCGTGTGTGATAGGGGTGACCCAAAGCACCAGGACTGTTCTGGATGCTGAAGTGACTTGTTCTCTGACCAGTTGTATGCCATGACACCTAACTTCTGCCCCAGGTACAAGCACACGCCTTTCAGCTTTGCCTTTCACTGCAAAGGGAGAGCAGCATCCAAGCCCCGTCTTCTCCATGCCTGGGTGGGGAGGAAGGTGCAGACCTCCCTGTGCTGCTTTGGAGCTCCCACTTCTCTCTGGCTACAGCCCGACGCCCACCCCCCTCTCAGCTTTGGCTGAATTCACCTTCCTTGAACATCAGTGACCGGACTCATACACAGTATTCCCATTTAGTTTTATTCTTGTTCATATCTTTACAGAAAATGGCACATAAATCACAGATGCTGGATGACTAGAAGTTGTTACAGCTCCATATCTCAAACACCTCAACACTGAATTCTTTTCTCACTGTATATACATTATTTACACACCATGGGCTATCATCTAACACGTCAAACGACCGGGGGACAAAGACAAACAGGGGCTGGATGGAGGGGTTTAACCTTTGATGGAAGAAAAACAGTAGCTCTGGGGAAAGCGTGCTCATAGCTGAAAGCAGGACAGAAAGGGTCGCCTGGAAGTCACTGTCCTACAGCTTTCGGGAGGAGTAGCACCTTACCGGGATGGGAAGGTGATGGTACCACAGAGCGGGTTTGGCTGCGTGGGTCTGCATGTGCTCGTGTGGGGCCAGCTGGGAGATGTATGTACATGTTATGGGGTGTATTGGGGTGGATGTGCATGGCTGTCATTCCCTTTAATACTCAGAGGGCGAGCTGGACAAATTTAATTCAATAAATACATTGGGCAGGTGTTATTGTCTCGCCTGGAATAATGTATTCAGTAAACAAATTCACCATTCGGCCCTCTGCAGGGGTGCAGGGCTTTGGCGTTTGGGGCAGAGTCAGACCCAGCTGTGGTGGCCAGCTCTGCAGGAGCCAGTGATGTGGGCTGGGGTCACTTCAAGGTGCCAGGTGGGTCCAGGGTGTTGTGCCCACGGGCTAAACCTGCCTCTCCCTGCCAAATGGAGGCAAAACTCAACCACTCTAAAGCTGCATCCCTTTCCTGGCAGACCCCAGCGCTGGGCGGGGAGCGGTGGGTGGAAGGTGCAAACCACCCTGGACAGAGAGTTGCCATTTCATGCAAACACTGCCATAGGCTTGTCCCGCTGCAGCCTGGGCCAGAGGCAGAGGTGATGGCCGGGGGAAGGTGGTGGGTCTGCCTGGGGGCACAGCAGGACGGGGTGTCAGGGGAAGGGGCCCGGGCAGCACTGGGGAGAGACGAGCACCAAGGAGGGGCATGGTGGCAGGGGACAGGCTCGCTCCAAGATTGCAGATGGGGTCTGGGACTGGAGCAGGAGGAGAGAGTCCCAGAGCTGGTCGCGAGGCTGGAGGGACCCAGAGCCTTGGTGTCCTCTCAGGTGGCGACAATGATGGGACACTTCCCAGTCCCCCAAAAGGAAGGGGTGGGAGGGTGAGGAAGGCCCAGCGGGGCAGAGGAGCGAGGGGCAGGGTTACGCTCGAGGGGAGCAGGCAGGGAGCCCCCCCCGCCAGGCAGCCCCAAATGCAGAGACCAGGGCCCCGCTCCCCAGGCAGGGGCGGCCGGGGGGGCCTGGCAGTCCGAGGGGGAACGCGGCCCCCGGAGAACACAGTGTCCATCTGGACTGGCTTCTGCCGCCTTTCCCCCCCCTAGATCAGCTTCTCCTCCTTCTGCGACGAGTTCAACTTCTCTGTCTGTCTCTCATCCTCTGCCACTGCCGCCTCCTCCCCTGTCTCCGGCTTCCTGCCCGGGGCTGGGTTGTCCCCGGCAATGGTCCCCAGGACTTTGGTGCTGTGCTCCTGAGCTTTGGCCCTGAGGGCGGCAATGCTGTTTTCTCTCAGTTCCTCCTGGGAAATGGTGGTTTTGGGATCCGGGCCCCTCTCTTCCTTGTCACCCTTGTCAAGCTTGGGCAGGGCCTGGCGTTCCACCTCCGTCTTCCTCCCCGCCTCAGCCGCTGCCTCCAGAGACTTTTTGTGCATCCCTAAAAAGAATTGTTGGTATTCGGGTTTAGAAAAGCGCCTGGGCATGGGAAAGCCATCTTGAACTGAAAACAGCAAAGATAAAGAGAGGCCAGAATTAAGGAAAAGCAGAAACCCTCGCTTCACGCAGCAGTCACGGCGAGCCGCTCGCTCTGGCCCCCGCGCGACGGCAGCCCAGGCAAGTCAGCTGCCTGCTGGGGCAGCCCGGCCCCAGCATCCAGGGCCTCGGGGCTGCCCCCCAAAGGTCTGTAATTACTCTCCCCTTCATTTCTCCCTGTGAACCTAAAGCTAACTTGTCCCTGCATGGGGACAAGGGTCTCAGACAGCAGCATAGAGTTGCCTGAGCTTCACTGAGGCTGGGGAGGGAGATCCCCCATTGCCTATTCCTGTATGAACTTGCTCCTCACACAACCCACTCCTCTGCCTCTCTCAGTTTCACAGACAGAAGGACAGGACAGCCCGTCGTCAAGATGCCAGGCACTAGTTTTGGGACAGAACAGGCCTGAAAAGTCAGAAAGCGGGAAGCAAAGAGCAGGAGCATGGTAGGGTAGCTGCTACCTCCCTGTCTGCACAGAAAACCAAGTGAAACGAGGCAGAAATGCAGCTCCCCCAGGTGCCAAGAGCAGGAGGAGGCAGCAGCGTGTTCCCCCTGGGACTTGGGGCAAGGAGAGCGCATTTGGGGGTCCCGGCAGCCCACACAGCGTCACAGGACTGGGGGAGTCAGACCATGATGACCTCCTGCCTTGGGCAAGGGTTAGAGCCCCTGATCCAGGGCTGGGCACGAGGGATGCTCACACCACGAGAGTCAAAGGCTAACACCAGCCTGAGCATGGGGGGCAAATTCCTGCCCCGGACAGATCCTGCAGGTCAGGATCCAAGGACCAGCAGGGATTTGGGATGAGCGGTCAGACCCTATTGATGAGGGCCACTGGGGGATGGGGGGGTGGAGGGCAGCGGGGAGGGGGGACCTCGCACCACCGCCCTCCACCCATGTTTTTGACACGGCTCTGGTTTCTTCCTTGCGTCCCCCCACTTCATCGCAACCCACTCGCCATCCCCCATGAAGGCGGCTGCTCTCTTACCCAGGAGCCAAGGGGCGCAGGACTCCATGATGCCATCCTTGGCAGACTTGAGGATGGACTCAGGCAGCGGGATGGAGTGACGCACCATGGCACCATAGAGCCCATACTCAGCCATCACGCTGCTCCTGCCCCAGCACTTCTCCCTCTTCCGCCATTTGGCCCGGCGGTTCTGGAACCAAACCTGGGGCGGGCGACAAGGAGGGACATGGTTTTTTTGCAGGGAGAAGGTGTGTCAGTCCCCTTCCCGCATGGGAACACACGTGTGCTTGTGCAGTGGGATGAAGGCAGACACATGGATGCTCATCCCGAAAGCACTGTGACCTCTTCCCCCATGCAGCCGCCGACGGGTATCTCTCCCTCCCTCCCTTGCAGGAGCGGCAAGGGCCAAGTGTGAGAGCAGGTCCCATCCCTCTCTGCAGGATGTAATTAATTTGCCATCACGGCATCTTTTTCTAGCGGCTTTTGGCTCTCGTGCCTGGGATTTTCTTTCATTATTTACTGGGTGTCTGAGCTGCGGCGCAGGGCTGCAGGCAGCGGTGCCTGCAGGGAGGGCTGGGATGGGGGCGGATGCTCGGGAGAGGCAGGAGAAGGGGGAAGCTGATCTGTGCGCTTCGCTCTGAATTCCCAGTTTGAAAAGCCCCTCATCTTCTCAGAAAATTGGCAGAATAATCTCCGAGCTGTGACCTGGGGGGCAGCAAGCAGAGAGGCGGGAGGCGATGGTGGCGGGGGGGATGCTCGCAGAAATCTATTAGCGCGCTCTCTCCGATTTCCATTCCTCTTGTCTCCCTCGCCCTCCTCCCTCCCCGGCTCCCCTCCCTTCCCGCCGAGCAGAGGCATCAGCTTTAGATGAAAAATTGCTCGAGGTCTATTCAGAAGGAGGCAAAGGAAGAGTCAGCCCCAGGGGCAGCCCAGGCCTGATTGAAAAATAAGTTAATTTCAGTTTGAATCGATGGGCCTCAGGCACTGAAATATCACGGGAAATTAAAGCAGCTGGTCCCCAGGGAACCACGCCATTGACCTGCGCTAATTAATGCCATGGAGTTACCAGGCCCCTCTCCGAGAGGCAGCCCCTCCCTCCCCGCGGACACCCCAAACACCTCCTCATTTAACTAATTAGACTCACAGAAAATTGGGTGTTAATTTGTTTAGGATTTTTTTTTCTTTTCTATTTTTTTCCCTCCCTTTCCCAGAAAGTACACGGCAGAATGGAAATGAATGGCGGGGTCTCGCTGGCAGATGGATGCTCGGGGTCACTCCGCAATCTTCTCCGACTTGATTGCTTGATTAGGTCGTTAGCACATTAAAAAAAAAAATTGCTTGCCGTCTGGCGCTGGCCTGATGAGTGGCATGAGGCGGGAATCGCCTGGGTAATTTATCTTTTTATACTGCAAAGAATTTTATTTCAATCTGCAGATATATGGAGGTGCCTTTGACACCTGTTTAACATTACAGAGCTGACAGCTTAACCCTCTCTTGTCCCCACCGCCTGTAGCCGTGGGGGAGCTCAGGCTGCAGTGGGGAGCACTGGGGGACTGGGGCAGACCCCCAGCTCTGCCGTGGGGACCACGGGACTGATGCCGCAGAGTGATGTCCTGCTCTCGGCTGGCAAGGCAAGCTCGCCTTTCTACCTGTGCAGAGGGGAACTGCCCAGCACTGAAGCCTTACGGGGACAGAGCTGCAGGTTAGGCGGGTGGCTTGCTAGCGCTGGTGACAGCCAGCCTTGGCCGTTCCTGGGAGCCCAGCCAGCCTGGCCACGCAGGGAGCTCTGCGGGGTGGGTGGGGTGGTGGTCCCAGCAGCTGTGATCCCAGCTTCTCCCAGCAGAAGACACTCTGTCCATATCAGAGAGGATTTTACAGCCAAGCTGCTTCACCACACGTCACCTCCTCTGCATGGTAAACAGTCTGATTTACACTTTCATACTGCCGATAGGTAACCCCTGGACCATGGATGGCTGCGAATCCACCAGGGCCTGAGCAAGGACCCTCAGGAGTGCACAGCTTTCTCTCTCCACCCGCTCCTCCATGCCTGCGTGACACACGGGTTTGCTCGGTCATGCAGTCAGCAGGATGCTGGCAGGGTCTCTCACTCCAGGCCACCAGCTCCTCCCACTCCCAGAGCCCGGAGGGCAGAGCTGGAGGGGACTGGCTCGCTCCCACTCCAACCTCAGCACAAACCCCTGTGGTTCCTTCTCACCCACCAGACAGGGGCGGCGGGGCAGCCACTCCCAACACCTCCATGCTGCGAGGGGACAGCTCCACTCACCGGGGCCAGGAGAGGGATCCTGCCTGTTCTGCCCTGAATAAACCAGTACAGTTACGTCCCTCACCGCAGAGCTCCTCCCTATCTCCCTTGGCTTCAGAGAGAAATTCCTGCACAACCCAAGGGCCGGCTCCTGCATATCTGCCTTGGTTTGGGACTGCAGTGACACCTTTCCATGTACCCAGAGCAGCTTGCAGGGCTCGGCTATGCACAGCTGTCTTTGTCACCAGTTGCCACACTTGGGATCTCAGCTAGGAGCAGCTTTTTCCATCAAGTACCAAGTGGGCAACTTTTTAAACTCTCCTCAATCCTCTTTTATCCAGGTACCTCTTCACTGATGCTTTTACCACCTCTCCTTTTCCCCTCCCTCCTGCTTGATGCCCCAAACATCTTCCCCCATGCCTCATGCTCCCCTGCCCTTCTCCCAGGCCAGGTCTCAGCCTGCCCCAGCGCTGCCCACTGCCACTAAACCTGCTGCCCTGGAGCATCCCCCTTCCCACAGCAGGGCCATGCAAATGCTGGAGCCAGCAGAAGCTTCGCCAGCTAGCAGCCCAATTTTGACTAGAGCTGGTGGAAAATTTTCAATCAAAAAATGCTGATTCAATCGCACAGGAAAAACTGCGTCCGGCCAGTGGAAGTGTAATCAAAATTATCTATGGCTTTCTTCTGAATGCTGTATTTTAATCTCGGCCACCTAAGACATGCAAAATCTATGCTTTAAAGCCAAATGGGAGAATCAAAATTACATCAACACCTCAATAAGATCATTCTGAGATTTCCCAAACCAATTTTTGTCATTTGATGGGAAATTCCCTCTTGGTTTTGACTAGGAAAAAGGAAAGTTTGAAATCCCAGAATTTCTAGCAGAACAGAAATCGGGAGGACTGACCATCTTGCTTTAATACCAGGAGCCATATCTTCATGTCAGGCATGAAGTTCAGTGAAACTAATGGTGCTCAGTAGTGAATATTGCTGGGATCAGACCCCAGCCCAGCACCTCTGCCACAAGCCCATCCCGAGGAGCACGGAGGGAAGAGCTCCAGCATGGCACTGGCAGCCCCCAAGCCATTTCAGATCAGCAGAATTATTCTCCGTGACCTGTTCTCAGGATTTTGCCCTCATTCAGATGGCTCCATCCGTGGGACTTTCTTCTGGGAGAAGATCTCACTGCTTTCTTCAAATTTCTTGACGTGTTACCAAAATTTTCCTGTGCCTTGATTCTGCTGAATTACGCACCAGTTTTAGCAATTCTGAGGTATTTTCAGCTGTGTTGGTACATCAGCCACAACTTCAAAATATGCAGTTATTTATTATTGGCACCTCACTTTTCCTGGAGAGGGTTTCACCCTTACACTTACATTTACTCACGGTTTTGGTATTCTGTGTCTTCTTTGGCTGCTTGTTGTCTTTGCTTGGAGATATCTACTCTACAGCTTCCTCCTGCTCTGTAAAATTCAGTCTGCTTCAAGCAATGTTTAGGTTTGTCCACGTTTCCTCTTGCCCCTTCCCATCATGTGGATTGGCTCAGCTTTGTGAAATGCTTTATTGATGTGGCTGTGTACCACGCACCTTCCTTCTCACTTGCCTTCTATCTGGTTCTCCGTTGCACAGCCCAGGGTATGGTGAAAAGATTGTGTTTGTGCTTCCACACTTCACGAGAGTGGTGAAAACTCCTGATTAATTTTAGACTGAAGTACGTCAGATGTTTGTGCAAAGCTATCACAATCTGATGTGCAGAGATGTCTTTTGGACCAATGTGCTATATCTTAAGATGATTTACAGCTTTTTATTATCACACGAGCACCCTCTGTGAAACAGGGAAGCTTGTTCCAGGAACCCTATCTTCAAAAAATGGACAACAGAGTAAAGAGGACAGGTTTGTCTTGCTATCCACCAGATGCATTAGCATCTTAAGTTCAGCCCATGCATGCACATTTGCTGTTTAGCAGCCCAAAGCCCTCTCCTGGGCTGCTCCTGAGGCTCCACAAGTGCTGCCCTTGGCACACCAAAGGCTCGATCTGGGGTGGTCACTGCCGTGGCCAAGCTGGGGGCAGCAGCCAAGCACGCCTCTGACAAGGCTGCCAGACACCCTCCGTGTGCTGGCAGCAGGATAAGACAATGCTCACTGCACATTGCATGCTGCAAGTTGGGTATGCCTGCACACCCTGGAAAAACTGCAGGCTCTTCCATATCCATGGGTTTTGCTCCTCTAGGCATAGAAAAGCTGCAAGACCAAAACCCACCACCTTGCAAAACCTGCTCTCAGTATGATACAGGCAAATAGAGGGTGGTAACAGAACACCTCACTCAGAGAGGATCTGCCCATCAACTCAATCCCTATCATTTGGTCAGAACTGACCACCACACACTCTAATCCCACTGGGCACATCACACTGACGCTGTCTCCTCCAAGAGCAGCCACAGCCTATGAACCAAGATAGCAGCAAACGCCAGTACCTTCAGCGTCATCTCCTGGATCCTTGTTCCACATGCCTGTTCTTCTGAGAGGATCAGCAGTATTGCAAAGCCTTATAAATGGGGATGTTTCTAACCTTTATCATCACCTAATTCTCACCCTCAGTGCCCACTGCCCAAAGCAGTAAAAGTTGAGGCACTCTGTGCTCGACTGCAGGGTTGCAGTGTTTCGGAGTCAAGATTGGCAAGGTTATTCTTGCCAGTTTCCTCCTCTGAATCACAAATTATGACCGATACTTCTTCGGATTATTGATGATCTAGAAGAGCAAATTGTAGTAGGAGGAATCTCTTATTTTGCAAAGGGACGTGAGACTCAAAGTGTCCTTGTTATCCGCATTCATCATATTAGTTAGTTTGTTTACCTAATCAGCTCCTGAGACATTGCCTGCTAAAGAAAGAAATCTCCCTGAGGTTGGCCATGAGCCAGGAATCCGAATTAGCAAAGG